TCATTGAGAATGCCGCTTCAGAATGCCTGTCAGCCCATAAGCCCCCCCCACACGAACCTAGAATATGGGATGCTCTCCGCTCTCCTCGCTTTTGCGGGAAGCATGCGGTAAAAAGCGGAGCGGTCTAAAAACAACTCAGAGTGACTCAAGTCTGTCAGTGCTGTTCTCAAATTCCTGTAGGCTGCTTGCGGAGTGATCTCACCTGTGGCATCATCACGGACTTCTTCATCATTGACTTCAGACCTCCACGGCTGATTCACCAGGAGTGGCTTTATCCAGAGCAGAATATTCCGAGCAAATGTTTCTTGCTGCTCTTCAACGGTCACATCTTCATCCTCTATCTCTGGATCATCAGCAAACAAAATCACATGTCGATACACAAAGGCTTTCACACACTGCACCTGCGCTGTCCACCATCTTGTGTCCACACGCTCTTTGGCGTCTTGGCTGGCCACCCTCAGCGATGAGGTCATTTGCAGGTCGGCCGGCACAAAGGCCAGCACCTTTGGCAGCACATCGGCCCGGAACGCCATGAGGTAGCAGCCAAGTGGGCGATAGCAAGCAAATGAATGGACATGAAGAAACCATCTTGACTTACCTGCGACACTTGCCCATGTGAGCATGATGATGTGTTCATTGATTGTATAGATAGTGGTGTTGGAAATTGCTATGCGCAGCATTTCTGGAGAGGACTGTATTTGAATGTTTGAGCCTTTCAAGTCAAACCACCAAAAGCTTGGACACGCATTCCTATAAAAGCCCTAGTTGTCAATGCACAATACAACCAAACTAGCTTGTGTTGGTAGAAGGGTCATGGGACAGAAGCATTCGCCCTGATCAATTCCCACCATGTGAGCAGCTGACAACATGGTACCGATCGCAAATGCTAAGGCTAAGGCAAAGCTGATGTTTCAAATGACTCCCCCCAAAACTGCTACCACGGTATTGGTTATCACGGTATCGATGCTGCTTTTCCCTCCTATCGGTTCCCAGTGTCATGCACACCCCATGACCAGGCACATGTGGGCAGTTGCTCATCTGGAAACATGGACAAAAGATTGACAAGTCGTCCTTGCTTTAGCCAATCAAAGTAGAATTTCACCTTCTCAGTCCACCTGAACTGATCTCCACAAAGTTTGCTCGCCCAGTAAGCCACTTCGGCTCAGTTTCCCCGGCACCCTAAAAAACTGTCGAACTGACGCTGGCCTGGTTGGAACTCATGGCACAAAGCACCAACATCACCGGCACACGCAGTGTGGCGGTTGGAAGCCTCGGAGTCGGAGAGCTGAGGTGTCAAGGTTGGTGCGAACGAAGCCGTTTTACCTATAAGACATGACTTTTACATGACGTTTACCTATGAATATTGTATATATGCCTTGTATATGCCTAAATATAAGACTTTAGATCCAAAAAAACTCAAAAATACCCTTCCAAACCGAAGCACCAAACCCAACCAAGGTTAGGCTGGTAGGCCGGCTCTCAGTATCAACTCGGTTTCAGTACACTGAGGTCTCTTATCGGATGCTACCACTTTCTCAAGATCATCCGGGTCCCAATGATGTCATTCACACGACATACGAACCACGTGGAGTCCCTCCGGCATTCGAACCATGTGTGTTGTAAAACAACGCAATGTCTGATGCATAAACTTCGATGACATCTTAGATCATCTTAGATTCTCCAGTGTTCGCAGTGTTTCATTTGCCGCTCCTTGAAATAGTTGACTACGCGAGCATTGAGACCATTGTCAGCACGCGTGTCAGTTGTATATGTACGCTCTTCCGTGTCACGTTCTTGTGCCACGTTTCTTGTCACTTCATGTTGCCCTGTCTCTATAGTGGGTATTTCGCATGTAGATCGATTTAATTACATATACAGTAAATATCAGTAAATAAACCGATCAACACATAAATACTACAACACTCACCGGCTCCAAGAGCAAAGGAAGGATTCGGTGTTCTCGTCACACGATTCGGACGAAGGTGTGCAGGGACGTGGTCTCGTCACGAGGGTCTGGAGGAGCGTCGCCATGGGTTCCAGGGTGGCATGGACCGACCCCAAACACTCCATGGGACTGGAATTAGTTACAGTCCATTTTATGGAACTCCATCTATGGAACTACATGGGACTGGAATAGAGTTACTCCATATATAGGACTCCAGGCATATAGTTGCCTACATGAGGGGTCACGTGACATGGACACGCAGTCGTGCCATGACCTACCGTCCTGTTTTCGACTTTGAATTCACTCCAAACGTTGATGACCCATCGACATTCCATGAACCCCAAAGACTGGTGTGCAGGGCGTTCAGTGGGTCAACTCACTTCATCATCACTTCCAGGGTGCCACTTCATCATGACTTCAAATATAAGAGTGAAATACTACTTCCAGGGTGCTCTTCATCCTACTTCAAATCCCTTCCTTCAAGTATGTATACTTCAAATACTACTTCCAGGCTTCCAGGGTGCCCAAACTCTAGCATACTCTAGCTTATACATCCCCAATGAACCCCACCGACCAAGCGCTCCAAAAGGACCCTGACCGTCGCACATTTGGACACCGAAGGCTTTTCGGTGACTCTCCCGACGAGCGCGAACGAGCTCCTGAGTGATCCATTGAGGCGGAGGAGGGGCTGAGGTGCCTCTCATGAGGTCCAAACACTGCACTTAAAGCAAGAACCTAAGGCTTACGACTTACGACCCGTGGCACCTGATGTCACCATCCCCAGTTCTAAGTTCCAAAAAAACCCTCAAACTGGTCGGCCAAAATCCGGAGAGTTCACATCCAATGCTCCTCTGGGATAGCAAGTCTACCTGTAGGATCTGTGTGCCCCAGACTCCAAGAGTGCCACCAAGGGCGTCTCCAGGTTCAAAGCACTCATGGCCTCAGAAATCAAATGCCCAAATGAAGGCAGGCAAGTACCATTCAAGGGAGAAAAGAGGTGTTTAAAAAACCTGTGCGCGTGGGTGGGTGGGTATGTCTTAGGGATCCTTAGGTGCCAATCAACGGACTATATTTTGTATTAGATAACTCCGGAGGTTCACACCCCACAACTCTGGTGGCGTGTCAATGCTTGCGTAATCCCACCAGGTGAGACTTAGGGCCAGGTGAGCCACACTGGCCACGTAAATTCGGTGGACCTGTGATTCATTCTGATACAGAGTGACTTGGTCAGTATCCGCATGCAACTGTACATAAATTCATAAATACATTGATAAGTGATACATCTAAGAATGGGGAAATCCGCCCCTTCATCCTTCACGAGTTCCTCTTTAGTCTATCTTCTGCCCATGTTTCATATTGTTTCATCAAACATCTCAAGCTCTCCCGACCCAAACCCACGACGCGTTTCGGAACAAACGGTCCAAGCCCAGCGACGGAGAGGCCGTGCTCATTGGCCACCAGAGCGGTCAAGAGCTGAGCAATGATCCTGCGCGGCACTGGGACTTAGAGAGTGGACTGAGGAGACAGTAGCAGTTCTGGATCTGCAAGGACTCGGTTTTTGGATGGCTGGATGGAATTCAGTTCTGATTGAGAAAATGGACAGAATGGACTCAGTTGCATCGATCAAAGAGTCCTAGGACTCGACCTTTCGGCGATTTGCCGGCGAAATCCCATGGTTTGGGTTGGAGTAGATACTTTCACAGCGGAGCCCTGCAACAGGGATGTTCACCTGCCATGATCCACTTGAGGGCGTTTGGTATGTGTCCACACATATCATATCTTCAAAACCAACATGGACCTCCACAAGGCAGTGGAAACTAGTTGCGAAAGATTCTAGAAGAAAATAACTTCATGAAATCAACAAGCCACTGTCATCGGGTGATGTGGCTAAGCCAATGCTGCAGTTTAGTTGGCATCAAGCGATTGCAAATCATAAATGTTGTGCCAAACCCTTCCACAACAGGATTTCCAGGATACCACTGCAGGTGATCTGCTAAACCTTCAATGTGGAATGCTAACGAAACTTGCTCCCAGTTCCACACCCTCCAGGCAAAAGTGATCCTTGGTGCCGAAGGTCTGACAAAAATGAAATGCTTTGGTTGAAACTGGTGATCCTTGTCATCCTCCAATTCATTCGGCACCCTTATTTTCCACGATACCAACCCCCCCCTGTCACTCCAATCCTTCCAAAAAGAAACGTGTGTTTTGTTTGCACATCTCTCCTGAAAGAAGCATCCGCACGTGCCACCTCATCAGCCGAAGGCCTTGGTCCTGCGAAGACTCGGAACGAAGGCCTTGGCCTTGAGCCTGCTGAGGACTCCCCAAATCTGTACTGATATGGCTGTGAGCCAAAACCTGGAGCCCGTTTCACCCTGGTAGGTCAACCAAACAAACCCAGTTTTGACCCACTGCCATATGGACCCAACGAGGCACCACTAAGACCGCCTCAGTGGTGGGGGAGGGTACTGTGGGTGTCGTGTGAAAAAAGAGTTGGAAGCATCACAACGCAATTTAACATCAATCGTACGTCAGTCGTTCCGTTTACACAAAGAATGCAAGCCCAGCCCTGTTTCAAACACGGACAGAGCAGAAAATCATCTTGGGAGTTCATGTTCAGGGTCTAATCATGTCTAATCAATGGTTCTAGAAGGTTCACGGCTTTCCGGGCGCTTTCCGGGCTTGTTGGCAGAAAGAATCTGTTGCATCATCCTATAGACAGCCCAAATCCGCTACAGAAAATGCTATTCAGGATCAGTTCTGTTTCCAAATCCCAACAGCCCGTGACCTTCAACAGCATACGCATCTGGTTTGCGCGCACCTTGTGTGCTGCTGATGTTAAACCAATGAAGAGCTGCTTGGGAACATGCAAACCAGAAACTTCAACACAACCGAGATCAAACGGGGACTACATGACGTTGGGCACCAAACAACATGTGATGAATTCTGCCAGCTCAGTGGTAGGCACCCTGTCGAAGCACAGGCAAATGAGTCCAATTGGAGGTGTCACCTACTTTAGTTCTAGGTGTTGGCTTTCATGTGGTCGCTGCAACACTCATTTGTTACACGAAACACCTCCTTGTCCATATCAAAAACACCAGCAAAACTATCAGATTCTGCTGGCCAAAGCCAGCTACTATATGGCATGCTGCCAAGCCATATAGCCCCTTGCGGACATTGCTGTGACCATTTCAAAAATACTATTGGAATGTGGAGCAGATGGTCTACTTGCCAAATTGAAATCTCTTGGCACTGCATCCTGGTCAGCACCTGCCTGGAGCAGCACATCTACCACATTCTGCTGGCGATACTTACTTGCCAAATGCAATGCTGTGTAACCCTCTTCTGTCGCTGCATCCTTGTCCGCACCTGCCTGGAGCAGCACATCTACCACATTCTGCCAGCCACGCTCACTTGCCAAATGCAATGCTGTATAACCCTCTTTTGTTGCTGCCTCCATGTCAACACCTGCCTGGAGCAGCACATCTACCACATTCTGCTGGCCACATTGAGCTGCCAAATGCAGTGCTGTTTTACCCGTTTTGATGGCTGCATCCTTGTCAGCACCTGCCTGGAGCAGCACATCTACCACAGTCTGCCGACCACATAGACTTGCCCAATGCAGTGCAGTATAACCACGTTTAGTCGCTGCATGCTTGTCAGCACCTGCCTGGAAGAGCATATCTACCACATTCAGGTGGCCAGAGCCAGCTGCCAAATGCAGTGCTCTACAACCAGCACACCCAAAATCCTTTGCTGCAACTTCTATATCAGCACCTGCCTGGAGCAGCACATCTACCACATTCTGCTGGCCCTG